TTTTGATACTAATATATTACTTCAGAATAAAATTCTTATGAAGGGGTTTAAAAGTAAAAAGAGCTTTCCACTAATGGCAATTTGACAAATTAGATACTACAGAAGATTCTCTTGCTATAGAACAAAGAAACAGAAAGTTGGCCTAAAACAAAATATATATATATTTTTGACAGAGTCTCACTATGTCACTCTCAGTAGAGTGGTGTCACAGCTCACAGCAACCTCAAACTCTTGGGCTCAAGTGATTCTCCTGCCTTACCCTCCCAAGTAGTGGGGACTACAGGCATCCACCACAACATCGAGCTATTTTTAGAACCAGGGTCTGGCTCTTGCTCAGGCTGGTCTTGAACCCATGAACTCAGGCAATCCAGCTGCCTTGGCCTCCCAGAGTGCTAGGATTACAGGCATGAGCCCCTGCACCTTGCCTCAAAATCTTTATTTTAGAACCAGACTTTGCTACAGGAAGTAAAAAGAACCAAAGGCCCCTTTTCATCTCTTTGGGCCTCCAAAAATGAATGTAAAAGCTAAAGTCAGCAGTCCTAATAGACAGGTTTTATGGCTAAGAAACATAGATTAAGACAAACAATTGGTAGGGGAGATGAACTTATAATAAAACCTCAAAATAAGACTAAGATCCTGAAATGTCTTGGGTGAAGAGTATAATCTGGATTCTGATAGGGAAAAATACTGCTAGTATTTAGAGGAAGGCAAACACAATTAGGCACCAGGTTCCTTTCTTTTCCTTTTTTCTTTTTTGTTGAGACAGAGTCCCAACCTATGCCCTCAGCAGAGTGCAATGGCGTCATAGCTCAGTGCAACCTCAGACTCGGGCTGTGGGCATCCTGCTGCCTCAGCCTCCAGAAGTTGCTGGGATTACAGGTGCTCACTGTGGTGCCTGGCTGGGTTTTTCCATTTTTTTAGGAGTCGGAGTCTCACTCATACCAAGATCAATCAAAAATAAGCTCACAATCAAAGAGTATCATACAAGGAAATAAGCCACAATGGGAGAGAGATAGAGAGTGAGAGTCAATAAATTTAAATGACCCTAAAGACTTCCAATATTGGAACCATTTAATACTGAATATAATGTAATTATTATTTGGGTGGAGGGGGTCTTGCTCTTTCTCAGGTTGGTCTTATACAATGTAATTATTTAGTATCTAGAGAAATAAAAGAACAAATCATGAGAAAAGTAAATAATAAAAACAATCAAAAGTTTAATTTGAAAAAAAGCACATAGAACTTCCAGAAATGAAAAATTGCTGCAATTAACAAGTCAATCTCTAGGAAACCCAAATAACTGCAAACAGATTCAACCCAAACATGTCCTTTCTGAGGCATATTACAGTCAAAATGTCAAAAATCAAAGACCAAGAACAAATTTTAAAAGCAGCAAGAGAAAAGCATCCAGCCATATACAAAGGAATACCTAGTCAGGCATGGTGGCTTATGCCTGTAATCCTAACACTCTGGGAGGCTAAGGCAGGGGGACTGGCTGAGCTCAGAAGTTTGAGACCAGCCTGAGCAAGACCAAGACCCCACTTCTACTAAAAACAGAAAAACTGAGGCAAGAGGATCACCTGAGCCCAAGAGTCAGATGTTGCTGTGAGCTATGTTGAGACCATGGCACTCTACCTAGGGCAACAGAGTGAAACTCTGTCTCAAAAAAAGAAAAAAAAAGAAAAACCAAGAGAATATACCAGTAGGGTAGCCTTACAAGAAATGCTCAAGGGAACCTTACATCTGGAAGTGAAAAGATGATTACCAACATCTTGAAAACATGAAAAACTATAAAACACATTGGTAGAGCTGATACACAAAGGAGAAAGAAAAAACTTTATTGCTACCCAAAATCACTCAATCACAAAAATAAACAAAAAGAAGTAAGAAAAGTATCTCCAAAACAACCAGAAAACAATCAATAAAATGACAGGAGTAAGTCCTTACTTATCAGTGACAACTTTTAATGTAAATGAATTAAATAATTCTATATAAAAGATATAGACTGATGGATTAAAAACAAAACAAAAACAAAAAAACAAGACCCACCTATACGTTGCCTTCAAGACACTCACCTTAAAAGACAAGACAAAATAGACTGAAAATAAAGAGATGGAAACAGATAACTAATGCAAATGGAAACCAAAGTGGTCAAGAATACTTATATATATATAAAAGACTTCAAGTTAAAAGTTATAAAAGGAGACAAAGAAATACATACCAATAAAGAGATCAAATTGCAAGAGAATAAAATAATTATAAAAATATATGCACCTAACAGTGGAGCAACCAAATATATAAAGCATTTATTACCTCTAAAATAAATTGGGGCTGTTACTGTGGCTCATTCCTGTAATCCTAGTACTCAAGGGAGGCCAAGGCAGTAGATAGCTTGAGCTCCAGAGCTCGAGACCAGCCTGAGCAAAAGCAAGACCCCATCTCTACTAAAAATAGAAAAATTGAGGCAAGAGGATTGCTAGAACCCAAGAGTTGGAGGTTGCTGTGAGCTATGATGCTATGGCACTCTACCCAAGTGAACATATTGAAACTGTCTCAAAAAATAAATAAATAAATAAAATACAGTAAACTAAAATAAAAGGAGACTGGGAAGCTGACGTGAGTGAATGGCTTGTGCTCAGGTGTTAGACACCAGCCTGAGCAAGAGTGGGACCCCATCTCTAAAAAAAAAAAAAATAGCTGGGAATTTTGGTGGGTGGCTATAGTCCTAGCTACTTGGGAGGCTAAGACAAGAGGATCTTTTGAGCCCGAGAGTTGAAGGTTGCTGTGAGCTATGATGCCACAACACTCTACCTAGGATGACAAAGTGAGACCTTGTCTCAAAAAGTGAAAATAAAATAATTAAAATAAATGCAATGGAGAGATAGACCATAATACAACAATAGCTGGGGACTTTAACACCCTACTCTCAGCAGATCATCTGAGACAGATCATCTAGACAGAAAATCAAAAAAGAAACATTGGATTTAAATTGTACCATAGACCAAAAGGACATGAAAGTTATTTATAGAATATTTTCACCCAACAGGTAAAAAATATTCATTATTTTCACCAGCACATGGATCATTCTTGCAGATTATGCTAGGACACAAAACAAGTCTCAAAAAATTTTTTAAAAACAGAAATCATACTAAGCAATGTTATCTGACCACATCAGAATAAAAGCAGACATCAATACATACTTTTGGTATTATTTTACTTTTTGACCATTAAGGTGAAATTCATATAACTTAAAATTAATCATTTCAAATGAATAATTCAGTGACATTTAGACATTCACAGCATTACAAAAGAACCACCTCTAGTTGCAAAACATTTTCATCACACACAAATAAAATTTTTACCCATTGGGCAGTTATAACCTGTTCTCCCTTCCCCCGAGCCTCTGGCATTCACGAATCTGCTTTCTTTTTCTTTCTTTCATTTTTTTTTTTTTTTGAGACACAGTCTCACTTTATCTCCCTCAGTACAGTACTGTGGTGTCATAGCTCACAGCAACTTCAAACTCTTGGGTTCAAGTGATTCTCTTGCCTCAGACTCCCAAGTAGCTGGCTGGGACTACAGGAACCCGCCGTAATGCCCAGTTATTTTAAGAGATGGGGTCTGGCACTCGCTCACTCTGGTCTTAAACA